ACAAAAACTAACTTAGAAGCTGCAGTTTATAAATGAGCACAAGCTTTTATCAACTGATCTTCATAAAACTCAAGCCTCCTTTCACGTGCTTTTTCTATCACCAGTCTTTCCATGGATCATGTTGTTCCACCTTTCTGCTAGCTCTGTTCTCCACAAGGAATACCATCCTCTCTGTTCCACCACCATGCCCCAAAGGGGGCCCCTGCCATCCCCAGCTCACAGGCTGTTACACCCAGGGAAACGCTCTGCCATCTAAAATCACTCTTGGGGCAATTGCAGAGGCTAAAGGTCCTGATGTACTTCAGAACCTGAGCAGACTGATGCCATGCTAGATACCAGATGGCCTATCAAATGCAAAAACTGTTGCACTCCCATGCTACTGCCACCAGTTCAGAATAATACTCCTTAAACAACAACTTCTTTCTTTTTACACTTTTTCTTCCCTTTTATATTTAACAATCCATCTGTAGTTTACACAGCAATCAACTTGAGGGAGCCGTCTCGTGAGTCACTGTTTTCCTTCCCCCATATTTTAGCAAGCTGCAAAGCAGGATGTTTTAAAGCCACCTCTACTACGTGAGTTATGAAACACCAACTCAGGCATACTGATGCTCAAATTCACCTTCTCCAATCCCTAAAATGATAGAGTTCCCTTCCATGCTTACTTGGCACTTTTGCTCCCTTCCCAGGGAAAAGAAAGAGGAGCACCTGCCTCAGTGCTGATTGGCTCTGCAGGCCAGAGCCACTCACTCTGTCTCGAGGTGACAGCCTAAGGACACCCGCTGTTTGAGATGCTGAGCTGGACTTCAATACTTCACAAGTGCTTTCCTTCTTTGCATCCTCTCCACCCAGCCCCTTCTTCAGCCACTCCCCTCAGAGGCTGCTTGTATTTCTGGAATACATTAAGTTCATTTCTCATTATTTCACTGGCAATTCCTTTGATTCTCCCTTGTCAGCGTAGAGTCTACAGAATTTGTTGTGTTGATTTTTGTCTAAAGCAAGTGAGAGTTTTCTTTGATCATCCTTGTTTTGTTAATTTTTGATGCTTTCGGGGGAATTAATGTCTGGTTTTAGTATGAAGATGATGAGACTGCCTGGCCTCCTTTGTGTGGCTTGCTTGATCTAAACAGAGCAGATGGCAAACTATGCCTTTACATGTTAGTTGCTTGGGAAATAGGAGATGCTGAATCCATAGGGAGGGATTTTAGGAGGAATAAATAGTGACTGGAAAATTGAGCTGCAAGACTGCAGATACACAGCAATGCAGAATTCAGAAAACTGCTTACCCAAGGCCTACCTTTAAACATAAATTCCACAGACCTCAGTAAAACTATTCATAAGTTTACAATTATGCTCATGGAAAAACAGCTTCCCAAATTAATGCATAAGATGCTTTTTTTCAAAAGACAGAAAATCCGAGGACTGCAGAAGGAATTTGAGGCCCAATCCAGCTGACTGCCACTGATTAACATCAATGCAATTACGATGGAAATAATCCTTCTGCATGAGACTCATTTGCATATGGCTTGTTAGCGATCCTATCATCCTCCATATTTTGCCCTACAGATATGTTAGTCCTGGTGAAAATACTTATAATGTCCTTGAACTCTGACACTGCAAGGGAAAACGCACAACCAAAGTCTTTGGGATAACAAGCACCCTAACTGATATCAACTCATTATTCCTTTTCTTGCCAAAAAGACAACTTCAGGCCACTTTTGACTGTAAATTCCAAAGGATTATTGTAGTTATTTAGCATAACTCTGAACAAGCATCATCAGCCCCGTAAAGGGCTTTATAGTCCTTAAAGGGACCCTTAAAGATCATCCAGCCCAACCCCCCATGCAGTGAGCAGGGACATCTTCAACTCGAGCAGGTTGCTCAGAGCCCCATCCAACCTGACCATGAATGTTTCCTGGGATGGGGCATCTACCACCTCCCTGGGCAACCTGTTTCGGTGTTTCACCACCCTCGTTGTAAAAGATTTCTTCCTCATATGTAGTCTAAACGTGTTGTCTTTTACTTTAAAGCCTCACAAGGTTCACACAGGCCCACTTTGAGTTTTTCCAGGTCCATTTGGATGGCATCCAGTCCCTTGGGCATGCTGATCACATCACTCAGCTTGGTGTCAATGGCAAACTTGCTGAGGGTGCACTCAATCCAACTACATCATTGATGAAGATATTAAGCAGTACTGGTCCCATTACGGACCCCTGAGGACATCACTCATCACCAATCTCCACCTGGACATTGAACCGTTGATTATTACCATCTGGATGCAATCATCCAACCAACAGCTCATCCACCAAACAGTCCACCCATCAAATCTATAGCTCTCCAATTTAGAAAGACAGATGCTGTGGGGAACGTGTCAAAGGCTTTACAGAAGTGCAGATAGATGACATCCATAGCTCTTCCCCTCTCCACTGATACAGTCGCTCCATCACAGAAGACTACTAGATTGGTCAAGCAAGACTTGCCCTTGATGAAGTCATGATGTCTGTCTCAAATCACCTCCCTGCCCCAGGAATGAAGCACAGCCAAGTTGCCAGTGGTCTGCTGCATGTCATTAGTGTGAGGAGTGAATATGACAAACCCCTAATGCCGTGACCTATGTGTGATCTATTCTGCCTCTTAGTGAAGATATTTCTAAACATAAGAAATCTACAACTCTAGAGCTCTTTCCAAAACTCGGAAGATTATGGCATATTGAAGCATCAGAGATACCTTCGCTAATCAGGCACATATTCACTGGGGATGTCAGCCTGTCCGTTTGTCTCTCTCTCCTGCTCGGTTGCTACGACAGTGGCATCACTGGCAGTGCTACACAGAGTACAAATTATGTCAATGTAGTGGCAGAAGAAAAAGGCTAACAGGAGGCCAAGTTTGTCTCTGTGGCTGGTACAGGCCAGGCAGTGTCAGTGTCTGCAAAGCATGGTGAGAACCCCGACAGCACAGCTCTCCCCACACCCAGCCTTGCACCACAGAGGTATTGAGACAGTGCTTGTACCTGAACTGTGCAGCCACCTGCTGTGGTTGCTTGAGCTGTGATTTAAGTGATCTGAGGAGTAAAAAAAACAAAGGGGAAAAAACCAAAAAAGGGCAGCTGCCTGTAGTTCCATCAGAGTTGCCTCACTCCCTATAAGCTAAAAGAAAAAGGCTTGCTGAGCAAGCATGGTCACGTATCTGTAGAGACTTCCAGTTTAAAAAGTGGAATCAGAAATTCAGTGAGGCATTTGAGTGCAATTTTTGGCCTTTCACTAGAAACACAAGTGTCACTGGTAACATATTTATCTGCCATACTTTGTACTATAGCAACATATGCTCATAAACATTGCTTTTTACAGTTCTCAGCTGCTGCTCCTTGTCTGCTGTTCATTGTATGGCAGCAGAACTACTTGTTAGCACAGCTATCCACAACCAGGGAACGTATATCCTGCAGTCTTTGCATCAGCTGGTTGCAAAGCCTGGTTATTCGCAAAGTGCAAAGTCAGTTGCAGCTGATTTTAAGTCAAAAGTACTAGCTCTTGAGGCATTAACCTAGGTTACTCACAAGAACTTAAAATGTTGTTCAAGAGCCTCATCTCCACACATTATCGACACATAACCAGCTAAAAAGTACAAACATCCTGGAAGGCAAACTGCCTGTACTGGCAACAATATGGATAGAGTGTATGTGCAAGAAAGATGAGGCAGTGAATTCTTCTATCATACATTTTCATCTATTTTAATATTCCACTGTCCTTGGCACCAGGAAAGTTAATTATCTTGATCTTCATTATTTGCTTGATCATCATCTTCAGTTCAATCACTTTTTTCATGTAATGAACTCCTGAAATTGAATTTAATTTTATCCCATTAAAGCTTTTTTTTATTAAAGTGCTTCATAACACACAGGGAAACTTGGCAAGATTCAGTGATAAGTTCTAGAAATAAGACATTTTAATAATTATTTATAGCACGGGGTATACAACACCTCTTGAAATACATGTATTGCTGTTGTATCAGTTAATTAGAATACAGATTTCTGCCAAGACCTACAGTTAGCAGCACTGCAGTGTACAGTGAAGTAAGAGAGTGGGAGTATTTCTTTTTCTTTTTTTTTTTTTTTTTCATTTATGAAGGAAGAGTCATTGCTGTGAGGCTAAACAGGTGGTAGAGCAGCTCACAGCTCTTTTGGGACTGATTGCCACTTTGATGCTTGGCATATCAAGAGTTTCCAGCAAGCTAAGACACAACATCTTAGGATTAGAACATCAGTTTCTTTAGGGCGTCATGTACTTTAGATGGTAAAATAGATCCTTTTCATCAAAAAGCAAAATACAAAGGAAATAATAATGATAATAGTATTTTTTTAAAAACAAAAAGCACACAGCAGAGTAGCTTGGTTTCCTATAAATCCTGTTTACCTGAGGGAATGGCACTGTGCTCCGATTTGAAGCTTGGCAACCAATACTTACTATGAAGTTCAACAGAAGACTTTTCCAGCCACACAGAGACAGTACTTCCAAAGTGCCTGGTGGATTTCCCAGCGAAACAAAAGTTCAGCTGAGAAATCCTAATACAACTGGACAGGAGGCTGACACTTCCTAACCTTCATACTAACAAACATTAGCAAGCACTACCAGCTTATTAGCTTTTCCTTCGTTTGCATTTATCATTAATGTTTACCCAGTTGAAATCTTAAACTTCTTGGGAAGGAACTTCATCTTTCAATGCATTTTGATCACACGACATTGCACAAAGCAATTTCTTCCTCCTTTACACTGAAGCATGTTGCCTAAGAACATCCCTAGAACACAAATGTACACCTAAGCTCAACTCCACTTTTATATTGTCCAGCAAGGGCACTGCAAAACGCTGCCCCTTAGAGCAACACCATCAATTCCTTGGTTTATCAGAGGGATAGACAAAACTGGTATCAAATGCCACCCTGCTGACCTGCCTTGACACAAAGGCACGTTTGCCTTTGGATACACATTGGATAAACAGGTACTTACATTCCATAAAATAGGGGCCAGGTTCAATTCGCCATACAATTTGCCCTTTTTGTGTGCCAGTCACTCCCCGATTCTTGGAATCCCAGAAATTGGCTGGAGAGTTCTCATCTGAAAGGAAAAAAAAAAAAAGAAGAAAACATTTTGTCACTTAGTAGTCCTAAAAGTTTTTTGCTCTGCTGTTTCAGGAGGCCTAGAAACAAAAAAATTCAAACTACCTAGCAAAAGATAAATGGCTCTCTTTTACAGTTGATAGTTAGATCAATTTATTCAGAGTGAGCAGACATACATACATACAGTCAAAGCACATACATGGTTTCCTGTTAAGAGGTAACCTGCCAAGGTGAATTAGTACATTGCAACACTTCTCTAACTCAGCAGAGAGGCCATTGGGACTGTACAGCTGATTGCAACTTCTTCATACCATTTTCACAGTGGTCCTGAGCTGTGATGTGAAAATCTAGCATTCATTGCTGACCTAGGAAGCACAGAATTGAAACTAGAGCTATCAAATACACCAAAAAAAAACCTGAGACACTTCATTTTCTGACACTTATCAATGAAGTTGAGCTCAAGGTTTAAAGGGCAGAAGTGTCATTTATTAAGCCAGAGACACAAATTAGAGATTCAGCAAAATACATTCAACAGAGAAGACTGGAGAAGCAAATAGTAAGTATCTGCAGATCAGCTTTGCAAGATCAGTATTTCCCCCTCTTGAACTGATCTTTCTGTCTTAACAGTAACACACACAGGTCTTGGGGCTTATTTTTGATTTACCAGCCTGCATTTAGGCACCCAGAACTCTGTATGAATGAAAGAAAACCAGAGTGAGAAGCTGCTTGAAAGGGCACAAAGATTAGTGATGATGAGCCAGAGGAAGCTGACGTAAATCCAACTTAATGTCTTTTGCACAGGAAGTTCTTTGGAAGTATGCATCACAATGTTTTACAAGTGCATTTAGGCAGCTGTTTCTCAATTAGACAATTACAGCTCTGACCTCAAATGAATCATCTTAATTCTTTCCAGTGGTACCTGATATCCCTTAGCCTTAAAAAAAAAAAAAAAAATCCTGGTTTATTATATACATTTGAGTGCATTCTGCCAAGTTAAAACTTCACTAAAAACTTAGTCTACTGCAGCTTTGTTCACGAAGCTCCTACCCATTCAAGCACATTTCCTTGTTACTTTGGTAGGAACTCCCACACAAGTTTTCAAAATCCTTGTGTTATTTATGAAAGGATATTAGTCAACGCAGCTTTATTACTTTTATCTTAAAAATATATACTTACACTAAAGCTGCTCTTCAGTCCTTTTCATGCTGACCGCTCATCTCAGTGCATGCACGACAATCATTAATGCAGCCTATACATTCACATCCTACTCAACTGACATGCAAAGCATTACCAGGCACACACTCAACTTCTGAGATTGCTGAAGAGCAAGTTACACCCTGTCTGCAACCTGGAAGAGCTTTGGAGAGCCAAGAGGCAGCCAGAGTAAGCCACTGACATTTTTATCCCTCCAGGCATGGGCAACTTTGAGACTTTTTAGAAAGCTGTGGTCTGAACACCTCAACATCATGACGAGTCCAGAATAGTTTTGTAATGATCTCAATGACAATGAGAAGGGACAGGAGGGTTCTCCTAATGCCTGTGATCCTCGAGCATACAATACCCTCAGGCTTCACTTTTCATGTGGAATCAACATGATAGTACATAAACTGCATACACCATAAAGTCAGGCACACAGGCAGTAAAAAAAAACCACATGCATAATTATTCTTCATTACAGCAAAAAAACCTCTCAAGAGTAAATGAGACGTATTTCTTTTTTTCAAACCTATATAAAGAGGAACTCTGAAAGTACACGCTAAGTCATCCCATGGGCCTCAGAAAAAAAAAATCTCTTCATGTGGCTTGCAATGACACTCTAATTGAAACAATACACTGTTGACTTACTCATTTATTTATTAATGTGCCTTCTTAACCCAAGTTCCCACTGTTTTCTTTCACAGACAGAACTCTGGGAAGCTACGAGATATAGCTTAACTTGCAACAAATCTACACTAGTGCCTGCTTTGGTCCACCACAGCAACCTGGTTACCCAAACCATCACTACCAAAACCAAGCAGATTCCTTAAACCTTCCACAGTTAATCTGAAACACAGAGAGTTTTAAATTATGCAGGGTTCTCATTATGTTTAGGTAAACAAAGATGCATTGCACAACAAAAAACCACCTCCCCTAACATGCTTTAGTTCTTCTGAATTTAATCAACTGGGTAAGAGTCTGTTCATAATTTTCAACAGAAGGACAGGTATCTCGTATATTATAACCATAAACTATTTATTCTTATTTTGTTCAACAAATCAAGGAACTCTGAAACAATGAAATAAGCCTTTAACTGTGAGATTTTAAACATGAAGGCACAAATAACTGTTCTTTGTTTTATAAAATTGGTAAATAAGTGAGGTCAATAGTAATTTTTAACAGGACATGAGTGAGCTCCAGAAAAGGTCCTACATGAACTGAGTCTCAAATTCTGAGCTGACAGTTACAAAAAAGCAGAGTATCTTCTTACAACTTAACTAATATAACCCAACATTTAACAAAGTTCCTGGATTTTCAGCCCTTTCATGAAGCAATAGTCTCTTTTGCAGCAATGAAGAGTGAATCATTGACACTCTGCCCACAGGAATGATGCCAGTGCAACAGAAGGTGGTGGAGACAGAAGAATGAAAAATTCTGACAGACCACTGCAATCGACTCAAATTACAGAATTTATTTTGGACAGCTTTGATTTTCTTCTGAAGCAGCTCATTTTTCTTCCTACTTTTAAGATGTTTTTCACACAGGAATAAAAAAATATTACTAATGCATATGGAAAAATAACTTCAAACCTCAGTTCATGGATTCTAAAAAAGAAACTGAACAGCAAAACAAATAAAATAAAACGAAAATGCTAAAGTACACAATATTGCTGACATTTACTTATCAACAGTGCAATAAGAAAGTTAAACAGTAATAGTCTCAGTAATATTCAGTTGTAAAAAAAAAAGTTTGGGAGCACAAAAAAAATAATGTCAGAATTACCACTACCTCCTCTCTCTTCTTCCCTAAAACATATACATCTATGTATCTACGCATGTATAAACACACACACACACTATATATATATACACATATTCCACAGGGAGCTTCAATTCGAAGAAGTTCTAGTCCCTTTGTAGCTGATAATTGCTGCTGGCGAATTTCTGAAACTGGCGGTTGTTCCATAATCTGGGCCAAAGAGTAGATATAAATATCCATTCCCAGAGCATAAAATATGCAACGAAATACTGTCCTACTACATTGATGTCTTATCCAGTGAGTCTACACTTCTGAAACAAATAAAACAGTACAAGATGCACAATATCCTATCTTCAATAATTCTTAGACACAAAATATTACAGAAAGTAACTTATTTCTCAGAGCTCCAACCCCTGCACAAATCAAGCATACGGGAGACATTCTACAGTGAAAAGAGCGTAGCAGTAAGTGTATCACTCTGTGGAACTTCACATAGACTAATGCTCCTTGAAATCACTGCAAAGCAAACATGCCATGAGTAATAATATTTTCTCCATTAGTTTTCAAAATAAAATTATACCCTTAAAAGAGTAAGAGCCATAGGAAACTCCAGCATGCCTGTGCCTTTTTTGTACTGGAGCCAGAACTGGGCACAGCACCTATATGTGTCTCACCAGTGGTGAAGAGAGGGAAGGACCACCTCCCTCCACCCGCCAGCTAAGGCTCATCCTAACGCAGCCCGGGGTGGCCGAGGGGGACCAGGGCACAATGATGATTCTTGTCCAGCCTGCTGTCCACCAGGACATCAAGGTCTTTTGCTGCAAAGCCAATTTCCAGCCTATCCCAGTGTCAAGGCTTATTCCTCTCTAGGGAGAGGGCTTTGGCATTTCCCTTTGAACTTTATGACATTTCTATTTGCCCATTTCTCCAGCCTTTCTGAATGGCAGCACAATCACCTGGTTTATCAACTGCTAATCCCAGTTTTGCATGAGGATGTTATGGGAGACAGTGCTGAAAGCCCTGCTAAACCAGCATCTGACATCAGGGGTTCAGGGGCTTCTGTGGAGTTCACACTTTGGTCTTCGTGTCTATCGCTTTCACGACTTCTGTCATAGGAAAAAGGATAAACTACCTGAAGTCCATCACCTTACAGAGTCATCTTGCACAGCTTAAATCAACAAACAAATAAATAAGGTAGAGTCTTTTATAAGGCGCTTTAAAAAAAAAAAAAAAAAAAATCAAGAACTGCTACTGATTACTATCTGAAACAAGCCTTATAGTCCCAGTGCACAGCCTGGTCATATGCAAACCAATGCTCGTTTTCTGGTCCCAGTTTCTGTGGTCAGTAGTCTTGTCTCCATGAATACAAAGGATCTTTATTCTTCAAATACCAAAACATTATAAAGTCACAAACTCTTAGTGTGGAAACATCACAGACTGCTTGCTACATAGGGAAATTGTAAAGTTCCCTATAGCAATCTCAGAGCTTCAAACTTTTGCATACTGATCTCCTTTTTGTAACACATTCATAAAGATGCTTATATGCAGAGCTGAGAGAGAAGGTGATGCTTAACAGAATCTGAATGTCACAGAATGGTTTTAATTATATACACTTTAACAATCTCTACTTTCACCACCATATATGGGTATTCTTAATTCACAGCTCTTGAAAAATCCATGCAGCTTGGCTCAGAAAAGATCAATCACGTTGGTAACACCATTGTATCCCTGCATAATTCTGTTATCCTCATTTCGGATTTACATCCCAATCTCTTTTTTTTCATCCCTTTCTGGAGGATGTTTTATGCAAAATCTTTTTAAGTGCTTGCATTGTTTATTCTTAATTCAAAATTTTAACAAGTTCAGAACTCCAAAATGCTGGCTTCCTTAGCATTTTAAGTTAATTTTAATGAGTTCTTGGGCACTGAAGATCATGTGTGCAATACATCTAGTTATTAAGAGGAGTGTTTGTACTCAAAGAAGCTTATAAAGCATCGATCTAACTGTTATTTCTCTTGTCAGTTGTTCTCTTACAGTATGTTT